AAGGTTTAAGAAGACATTGTGTCAGGTTTAGGGAAAGATTGTAGTTCTGGTGAAAATAAGTCTGTTAATTAACAGAATTAATATCCATATGTGGCGTTGTACGTAAGTTATAACAAAAGAAACCTGACCTTCTCCATATGTGTGGACTTTGTTGCTCTTTATCCGTACGTACCTGTCCTTTTTTAATTTCTTTACAAATGATTGTGCTTTACTTTTCGTAGGTATAGCAAAAGGTCAATGAGAACAGCTTGCAGACAATATGTTTCTACATACAAAAGGCCTCACATTTGTGTTGTTGTCTGTCATTTGAAAAAATAAAAATGGGGTAATAACACACTATAAATGCAAGCTTTACCTCACGCAACCCCAGCAGCCTGATTTTGGACTGATCGCCGTAGCAATTGTTAGGGTAATTATGATATGGTAATAATGCAGTTATTCAACATTAAATTAAATTGCCATATTTATCTAAAGAGTGCAGCCAAATTACATTAAAACACATTTTTTTCAATTTACCTCAAGCATAATCTAGTTATTTAATTCTAACCCAATGCATTGGAGGGAAATATAATATAATATAACCTTTTCAGCAGTGCAATGCATTGTGTGCAGTACAACTGTTGCATAAAATGTGCACCAAGAAATATTGCTTTTCCAGCTAATGTTCCTTATTCCTAGAACCTCCAATAGACAGTTCATGAATGGTATTCTAAGAAGCGTCTCAATGGGAAAACCCATCGCTGTACAAGAAGTGGTATGAGGAAATCGTTATTTATTGATCCCTGAAGGGGAACTTGCGCAGTGTCGGCTGGGGGTGTGAGGACCTTCTTCTTTGTTGGGGTGCTTTAAAGACCTGAGATGGCCTCAATAATCAGTTTCTGTGCAGAATTAAATGTTCACCTTCATACGTCTCATTCGTCTGGCTTTGTTGACACCAGTCATCTGATACACCGTGTTTTCCTGAGCCATCAATCTGTCTTGCTGTCTCTGAATGTGTGTTTCTTGGCAGCTGAAAGGCTCCAGGTGTCTTGTGGGTCCCGTGCCCAGACGCTCTGCCAACCCCGGTGCTTCTGGTCCACGGTGGCATTGTTCTGCGTGGCCCATTGTGTGTGACCCTGGTTCAGAGGGAAACAGCTGGTGGATCCTCCAGTACCAGCCTGCTTGGCACGGAGACTGGGCACAAGCCACAGTGTTAAAATCACTGTGTTCCCTACTTTGATACAAACCATGCTCTGATCATCCATCTCCCACTGATCACGCTGTCAGGATGTTATGCTGTGCAGGACAAGAGAGCTGTTATTGCGAGCGTCAATTTCCAAGTAGAGTAGATATTTGGATATACTTGTTGTGTATGTCTTCATGTAATTCAGTTGTAGCCCTTTAACTTGTGTCAGAAACATCGTTCTCTAAGAAGCCATGGGCTGCCTTCAGTACAGGAAGTGACTCAGTATTGACTGGCGCTGCACTTCCTGTTAGCTGATTCTCCTCTACTCCTCTCAGGATGTTTACCTCCTCCTCGTCCCCCGTCTCCCACCCTCCTCTCCGCCCCCATTCTTGATCACATGATTTAACGTCGGTGCACTCAGCTCCAGGTCAGACCCGGCTTGTCTGGGTTTAGTTTGGCTCAGACATCAGCAGTGACAACAACATCTGAGTTGGGGGTCTTTGCCATGCTTGAATCCAGCAGATTTTTCATTGTGTACACTTAATAGAAAATATAGGTAATACTTATCGTGCAGTAAAATGTTGTTTTACATTTAAAGATGATGTTTCTGGACTATATATGTATGTTACATTTACAGCTGAAGACATTGATGGTTGTGCTAATTCTAACTCCTTTATCTACTACTGAGTAGCTTCATCTACAGCAGGGGTGCCCAACCAGTCGATTGCGAGATGTGTCTAAAAATAGAACAACAATATTCTGTTTTATTATGTCCTTCCTGTGCCAGAATAATGCACTTGAACGCATCCAAGCATTGTGATTGGCCGGCGTGACCCCATGTGTCGGGGCGTGGCTGGTGGGCAGTGGGCTGTGCACTAGTTGTTGTCCGTGTCAACGTCAACCAGGTGTCAACAGGAGTGACAGTCCGCACACACACAAGACCGCAATTATGGCAGAAGCAAAGAATCCCAAAATATATAATTTTCACTCCGAGTGGGAGGATGATTATTTTTGTATCTCTTCCAATTGAAAGTCCATCTGTCCCTCATCTGCAATGCGAGCGTGGCTTTATCGAAGAAGGGTAATTTAGGAGCGGCATTTCAAAACAGTGCACAAACGCTACGAGACGGAATTCCCTCCTAATTCTGCCCTACGCTCCCAAAAGGGGAGGGGCCTGAAAGGACAGCTAAATGCACAGCAGTCCATTTCCACCAGGCCCAACAACAAGAGCAAGGCTGCTACCAGAGCATCTTATCGTGCCAGTCACGTTCTTGCCAAACACATGAAGTCTTTCAAAGACGGCGAAGTTGTGAAAGAAGCTTTCATGGAGGCTGCTGACGCGCTTTTGGGGGACAGTAAAAATAACAGTAGCATTTCAACAGGTTTTTGATATAATAAAACTCAAGTTAGATACCGTTATTAATCAGCTGTAAGTTTTAGTTTGTTTGAACTTATTCATTATAATTATTGTACAAAATGGTATAAGAATGCAAACTTAAATTGATTATAGTCTATTATCAATTCAGGTTAAGAAACTAGTGTTGCTAGCATCCTATTTTAAAGGCATTTCTTTTTATACTCTACTAAAATGCAACAAAAAAAGGGTTTGATTCTATTAATTTTGTCTTTTTTATTGCACTTTCGCAGCAGATTCCTGTGTAGCTTCAGATCGGAGTTGTCTTATTAGTAAGCCTAATTTATACTTTTGTAGCAACAATATTTTTATATAATGGCAAAGAAAGGGTTCCGAGTCTTTTCTTTTTTTGTCCTGTGTCATATGTGGCAGCACTGTTCAATGTTTCTTGAAAACATTACCCACTGTAGTATGTAACGTGTGAATACACTCCAACTCTGTATCAACAACACTGTTGTTTAACTTCAGTTAAATACTTGTATTTGTACTTGGATTAGAAAGAGGTAAGATAAAGGATCTGCAGTATTTTATGGAGTATTAATCGTACAAAGCTCAGTTTTATACAAGTAGAAGTGTGTATGTACCTGGTAGTAGGCTGTCAGTAATGGCTACGCCTCTCTATTTGGACTGGTAGATCTCGGCAGACTGGCAACTTTAAAAGTAGCTCTCGGTTCAAAAAAGGTTGGGCACCCCTGATCTACAGCAATGCATCTTATTCTATCAGATCATTATGTATCAGTGACGTGCGGTGAGGTTCATGGCTGGTGAGGCACTGACTCTTTCAGAGTCAGATTTACAAATATTATATTCTGACCTTAATCGAAATATTCTGTTATTTTCAAAAGCTTTTTTGGTCTGATGTTTCGATTCATTTTAAACAGACCGTTCAACAAAAGGATACCCACAATCTAAATATTGGATTGTTCTTTCTTAGTAAGATCCCATTTTCATTACCAATGTGGTCTTACCTTGACTTGAAGATGAAGTCCATGCTATCCTTCTGGACAACAATCTCTATTACTTTTTTGTAAAAGTCCTCCTTATCTTCCTCTAGTTTCATAAGTCTAGTTTGTTGTTCGCGTCTATACCGTCTCTGCGTAGAATAACAGTAGCAACAAGGACCTGTGGGCTCACGTGCGCCCCCTTCAGTGCGGCAGAGGTTATGGCTGCCTCCCCTGGTGCTTTTTTCATTGCCGTTGTACGGCGAGCCTAAATATCATATATACGTGAAATAAGTTATTTAGAGACTATGGATGGCGAGGATAAATGTAATAAAGGGATCTACAAACATTACATTGGTGACCTACAGGGAGATGGTAACAGGCATGCGCTTAGGGCCCGCTTTCCAGACAGTTTCTGTGGGGTGACGCATTTTGAGGTAACTGGCTTGATCGCGCTCACAAAATAAGTGCCCGCGCTACATTAGTTACTGTGGGCTTACGTGAGGCAGAGCTCGTCCCTGCCTCACTCCTCATCGCTCCCATGTAGTTGTAGCGGAGCTCGGCAAATTTGCTGATTTTGACTATAAAAAGCGATTGGAATCATACATAAATCACATTTACAACACAGATCAGTGGAGACATTTTATTATTATTACTATTTAGTTTTTCTTTAGTTGTTTTTCCGTTACATTGTATTATGGCCAGTCTATGAGTATGACAGGTGAGGCTCTGCCTCCCCTGACTGCACGTCGCTGGTATGTATGTATGTAGCATTGCTGTCCTCTGGGCAATGTTTTAGTCTCCGTCACGTCTTATCCAGCAGATTTAGGAGGTTGTTGTAAATAGTTGAATTTGCTTGAGAAGTAGGATCATTTCTCAACACATAAAGGCACTCTTCATCCTTCAGATTATTACAAACATTCAAGTTCAAAAGATCAGGAGAAACATGGTTTTCAAAGCGTAAGAAAAATGGTAAAGTAACTAAAACTATGATTAAAAGTAGGGGAGTAAAAAGTACAATGGTTGGCCCTGAGATGTAGTGGAGCTAAAATAGAAGTACCTTCAATTTCTACTTAAGTAAGGTGCTGAAGTAAATGTATTTAGTTACACTACTTCTTCTGTATTGAAAGGTCTTTATTGTGTAATTTCCCTTCTGCTATCCTTTAAAGGGAGGGAAAGAGGTGTGACTCTTCCTGCGTCACTGGGTTCAGAATACAACAGTCCCTATACCACCAGAAATGACCTAATACAAATGTGTGTGTCAGCCAGTATGTATGTTCAGGAGGTTTAATACAGAAAATATTGTAAATAGGGTTGATCTGCATCTCATTCTTGCTATCGGTATCAGATGTGGACCCACCACAGTGCAACAACTACTTCCAGATATTCTGCTTACATAATACATCTGTCACTATTTATTAGGCTTTTTAGATCTTCACTAATGTCTCCCTTGCATCTCCACCCTCTCTCCAGTTCCCCAGAATGCGGCTTCTCCGGCATGTATGACAAGATCCTGCTGTTCCGCCACGACTTAAGCGACGAGAACATCCTGCAAGAGGCTCACCTCGGCCGAGGACATCCATGAAGGAGACCTAATCGAGGTGGTGCTCTCTGGTATGTGAGCACCGGGAAACCGTCAATGTATGGGTAGTTGTATGATTTTTTGCACACCATTTTTCCCTAGTTTTCTAAGGTTAGTTAGAACGTGAGCAAAGTAGTTTTAAAATGCATTGCTGCTTAGCATCTTTGTGAAAGAAGGAATAGCATTTACTCAACAGACCTTTGTGAACTGTTGGCAAATACAAAGGTACAGAATGAACCCAAGGTTTTCATCACCCAGTCTCAAGAGCTTTTACCTTTTTATGTGAATATTAAGAAGGTTTTGAGTTCATCTTGGGAACTTCAAAAATGTTCAAACCAGCAACGTGATGAAGATGCCAACAGGATAATACATTATTTTGAACTAAAACTGGACACAACATTTGCAATAAAAAAAGTGAAAAGGGTATAACAATTAAGATTATAGAAATTGCTCACTCAATTTAATTATTGACCTTCTTTTGCTCATATCATATGTTGAAATATCAGATTGTCCAAAGAAACTTAGACTGAAGTTCTTGCTTCTTTAGAGCCTCAAAACATAATACAAATGAACATACAATTGCATCAAGCAGTACAAATCAAGTATTTTAAAGTCCAAACAATGGTCTTAAAGGGCCCTATTATGTCTTATGGGTGTTTTCCATTCCTGTAGTGTATCATATAACAAACTTTTTTCTGTGCTTGTAATGGTCTGCAAAAGGCTCAAATCCCAAAGTTCCCTCCAGAAGGAGTTTCTCTCCATTACTCACTCCCTGCCTGAATCACCTCAATTGGACTCCTTTGTTTACTTCCGTAACATAGGGACATCACTGCGTAACACTCTTGCTTCTATTGGTTATCGCTCCAACACATTGTGATAAGTGCTAAGGGGCGCGACATCTCTAAGCGGTTGGCCAATAACAACAGAGCCGGCCAGCTAACCAATCAGAGCAGACTGGGCTCTGGTTTCAGACAGAGGGTGAAAAGAGGTGCTGCAGCACAGGCAGTGTGAGAAGGAAATAGCTTTTTGAACATTAAATGTTTCACAGTTGAAGTACAAAATTCAAACATGAACCTAAAATGAGCATATTAAGGCCCTTTCAAACCGATAAACTGGAGGTACATACATGTTCCTGGAGTGTCGGATAAATGAAATATATTCTTGTGAAATGTGATGTTTTCAATTGAATCAGTGCGAGTGAATCATCCTACGCTCCAGCTGCTCACTCACCTGCTTTTCACTTTGCCCTGAATGTCTTTTCTTTCTTCCTCATCAAACTTTCCATCAGCTTTTCCACCTTTTCCGAGCAGCTTTGCAGGTGTTCAATTTGTCTTTGTCATTTCCTGCGATGAAAGAATCTGCTTCCTGCGCGCTGCTGAGACCAACAAACGGCTTTAGAGTATCTGTTCTGCTCTAATCTGTTCTCCTGCTCCATCTGTCTCCACTGGGAAGCACCTGACACCACCTGCGCTGAATATCCCCCCCTCTCTCCTGGGCTCAGAGTATTGTTTGCAGGGATTTAGAGAGGGGATGATTGTATAGGTTCAGGATCTGAGGATACTTCAGGCATCAGGCTGAGGAATGTAGACTAAAGACTGGAGAACTTCCTTCTTTTTGTTTCTCACTGTCTGTGTTTGTCTTGTGCTTCTCTTTTGTGTCAGTCTTTGTTGCTCTCTTTCCCTCCCTCGCTTTCTCTCATTCTAATCCCCCCTACCTCGACAAATCCATCTGCAGGTGTAAGCTCCAGCAGCAATTTATAGCCTGAGATATAACTCACGAAAGCCGTCATTGAAGATCTTTTGCTACACGTGCAACACTTGCTGTTTTTGGGTTGCATTTCATCTAACACTCAATAAACTTGGCCTTCTTCACGAAGAGGGGCTTTACATGTCATACTCTTGATCTCTGTTTGAGAAACGGGAGAAACATTCCCAAGCCCTTCATTTGGTTGAGAGAAAATATGAGGCTTTTTTCCGCCCCGCAATTTGTGTCCTGTCATCTTCCGTTCAGTTTTCCCTTAACCAACCTGTTGTTGGATTCCGCGGCTGTGGGAGAGAGCCCGCCTGAATATCTCTCTCGCTGTGAGAGGGAGGCAGAAGTGGCTTTTTCTTGGCTGTGGGCTCAAAGAAGAGGGTTTGTTTTTCCTGCAGTAAGTGATTGTAGTAGACCCGCTGAGTGTAAACACGCTCTGATGTGCGGGGCGGCCCTGGACTAAGCGGACACTGCGCAGGCCATCCCGGCCCATGAGGTTTGAGGTTTGGCCTGACCGATGGTGCCTTTGTTCTGCTCTTCACTCCCTTAAATTCCCACCCACTTTCACAAGCTGCCCATTCAACACGGCTGGCAGTGTGAATTTGATATTTTTCAATACATTCTGTAGTGGCTTCCTTCCTTTTTTTTCTATCAAGCCACCTTAAACAGACATGTATAACTCGTTTTCTTCCCTTTATATTTGTGTTACTTACAGTTGAGGAGTTGCTTGGCCTCCGATGGTTTGGATGATATTATGCAATGGGTTTGCTCAAAATAAAATAAACTTTTACACATGCAACAAAGAAAAGAGGCCTTTACAATAGTCAAAACAAAGAGGCAAAACTCAAATAAAATAACAAACAACTTAGGTATTCTTTCTTGCTTTCTTTTTTTGTTAAGGCTTGTATAACTTGATAACTTAGAGGGTAGTTGAACGGTTAAGAACTGTGCCGCTCACTTTTAGAGAAGGCGCGTGGGAATTGTAGTGTTTTATACTCTGTTGACTACAGGCGGTGGCCTTTCTTATAAAAACAAAAATACTGGCACCTTCTGTTTGTCAGATGGAAACTTGTGGCCTCCAAATGGACACTGGGGGCCTCAGAGCAAACAGATAGTGCATTCATGAAAGCCTCTAGCTTCGTGAGAAGTCCTGCGACAAATAACGTGTCGAGGTAATGTTTGGTGTTGCTCGATGCTAATTAGCACGAAGAGCATTGCATAACGATGCGACTGCTAAGAAGCACACAGTTGTTTTGCAGACGTGTGTGAAAAAAAGCTCATGAATGCTGCCTTTTATGTGTCTGTGCCAGGGAGCTATGTTGGCCACATGACCGTGTGACATGCCTGAGCTCTTTTTTTCCTTTTAAATCAAACCCAAACTGCAACAATCCCCCCACCAGCCATCATATTTCTCTTAAGTGGAGAGTGGTGACTGAGCATGATTATGAATGTCACAGATGATATAATGGCAGCTGTCTCAGGAATGAGTGAAATATTAGTTTTGTTATTTGGGTCGACACTAGAACTGACCCTTGGCTTGTGCTGCCTTCGGAAATGTTGCATTGTTTTCTGAAATGAACAGATCAGATATATTCCGTGAGGTTCTCTGATACTGTTTCTCTGACTCTTTTTTTTCTTCTGTAGATCTTAAATTGATTTCTTGCTCAAAGAATGTTCTCAATTTTCTTTATAAGGAGCAGATTCCTAGCATGGCCACATGTCTTATTTGTTGTTCAAGTCTGCATCTCATCACCGTCCCAGCAGCTGATGTGTCCTCAGACGTCCAAGAGCCAATGTGTTTGGTTGAATCACCTCATAGGAAATGAACACACACACAACACACACACACACACACACACACACACACACACACACACAACACACACACACACACACACACACACACACACACACACACACACACAACACACACACACACACACACACACACACACACACACACACACACACACACACACACACACACACACACACACACACACACACACACACACACACACACACACACACACACACACACACACACACACACACACACACACACACACACACACACACACACACACACACACACACACACACACACACACACTGCTTAACCTAAGTGTAAAGATGAACCAAACACCGCGTCCACATAAATGATTGCACAGGGACAGCAAGGAACATAACTCTAAAACTCTCTAGTCACACACACTGGTTCTTGGCAGCAGCCAGTGCTCATCTTCACATCTTTGATGAGTCACAGCAATGATTATCCAACGCTTGCTTCCAACAATGAGCTCAGTGTGTCTGTTTGAAACAAAACAGCGGTGACATGAAAGAGACATAAGAGACAGGGACGTGTCCACAGCTCTCTAGGTTTAAACATTGTGTCCCTTCACACAGATGGACCGATATAACAGGATCATATCTCTGGTGTCTCATTGGGTGTGCCACATCGCTTTCCTGAGTGATGACTCAGGAGTAGTGTCTCGTCTCTGCAGATGTGGCTCCCTCTACTGCACCGGTGTAGCCATAGCACTGTCATGAAGTCATTTGTTTTTATTGCAGAGAGAATCTCAGTTTTATTAGATTTATATCCCCTCATTTACATACATATAGTGAGCCTGTGTACTGTCTTGGTTTTATATTAAAAACTGTACATGTGATAAATGACTGCTCTCTTCTTGTCTCTTTGATTCCTTTGTCATCTTTTCTCATCCCTTTTTTTCCCCCTCAGTTTTTATTTCCTTCTTTTTTATAAAACTGTTATCCAGATTTGTTTTACTTTCGCCAACTTTTAGTTTGTGTATTGTTTCTAGCTCAAGCCACAGTTGAAGACTTCCAGATCCGACCACATGGCCTTTATGTCCACTCCTACAAGGCCCCCACCTTCTGCGACTACTGCGGGGAGATGCTATGGGGTCTCGTCCGGCAGGGGCTCAAATGCGAAGGTTAGACACACACACACACACACACACACACACACACACACACACACACACACACACACACACACACACACACACACACACACACACACACACACACACACACACACACACACACACACACACACACACACACACACACACACACACACACACACACACCACACACACACACACACACACACACACACACACACACACACACACACACACACACACACACACACACACACACACACACACACACACACACACACACACACACACTAGTTCCAGTGGCGCTCTTGACATTCCCACTGGAAATATTGCATCTCTGCTCGCCTTTAATTGAGTTGGATCAGATTTGAATTATTATTCTCTTTCATTTTATGTCATTAGGCTGCGTTTTTACTATTCTTGTGTTAGTGACTGTTGTGTTTCTGTGTTTGAAGGATGTGGGCTAAACTACCACAAGCGCTGTGCCTTTAAGATCCCAAATAACTGTACGGGTGTCAGGAAGAGGAGATTGTCCAATGTCTCCCTGCCCGGACCCTCCCTCTCCGTGCCCCGACCCCCACCTGTTGAAAACACTGTGGTCGTCCTGGACGAGGTGAGTTCTGATTGGCGGTTGCTTGTCATTTGTTTGGATAGAACAGTCTTTAAAGAGGACTGTACAAAGTTGGAATGAGTATCTGCTTATTCTCTGACTGACAGGGGAACGAGATGATGATTTTGATTATCCTCACATATAAAATGAGCTGGCTGGAGTTAAAACATCCTAACCCAGACACGGAGCCAAGCAAATTGGCCAAGAATGTGAAGCAGTCAATCCACATGCTGCTCACAAGCTTTGTTTCATCTAGTAAACGTGTCTAAACTTATCAAATGTGCCTCTTTTGCATGCTGGAATCTCCTGTTGTAGAACACCACTGATGCAGAACATTTCATTGAGTTGCATAATCCCGCACTGAAATATTCCTCTGTTGTCCGTGTCCTCACTATGGGTCATCAGGAAATGTAATTACGCTAATGACCTTACATTTTTAAGTTTATGTATCATGAAAATGAAGAAAGCTTCCTAACCATTTCTGTCAGGAACTTCCAGCTTGATGATTTAGTTACATCAAATCAGAACCAAATGTGGTAAAACCTGACAAATCTAATAACAATTTTCCAACACTGGGATCATGCTAACTACGCTGAGTCATGCTAACTCGATATGACAGATTCCTCTTTCCCTTTTCCATTCGTTTCCTTCTCTTCTTCAACTGCCATGTCACCATTCACTCTTTCTTTCCCTATCACTTGAATGCTCCCTCTGAGCCTTTTCTTCCTTTTGGCCATCATCCCTACATTTTTTTCCCCATCCTTCCAACCCCAGCAGCAGAGGTCCCATCAGGAGGCGGGGAAGCGGATCCTGTCGTGGAGCGGCCGGCCTATCTGGATGGAGAAGATGGTGCTGGGACGGGTTAAAGTCCCGCACACGTTTGCCATTCACACCTACACCCGTCCCACTATCTGCCAGTACTGCAAGCGCCTGCTCAAGGGTCTCTTTCGCCAGGGCATGCAATGTAAAGGTATATACATGTAGAGAATTCGGTGCATTTTGGTGAGGCTTCTCCATAAATATCATATGTTTGAGCAATTTTTTGTATTTCATCTGCCAGACTGCAGGTTCAACTGCCATAAGCGATGTGCGTCAAAGGTACCTAGAGACTGTTTGGGGGAGGTGGACTTCAATGGAGGTAATTTCAACATCTAAGTTCAAAGTCATCAGGGTATATCTTCATTATTTGCAATTTCACATGTTGCCATATTTAACGTGTAGAGCCAGCCAGCCCCGGCCCGGACTCGGACACCACCATGGACACTATGGAGGTGGACAGTGGGGATATGGACGGGGGCAGAGGACTGGACGACCCAGAGGAACCCTCCACCCCGGACGAGAGGATGTTCGACATGGACTCTCCCTTATTGGATAGAGAGAAGGACGAGGAGCCCATCAAGACTATTAGGTAGGAAGATTTAAAGATGGGGTAGGCAGTTTTTCTTTTTTTTGGGCATCAATGGGCAAAATAAAACCACGCATATTGTAATACAAGCGGTCTGAGAGAAAACTATCTTTCTCCATCTCCTCGAGGTTCTGAAAATCCAGCCTGTGATGTGAGACCTTGGCCAATCACAGAGAGTGTTGTTTGGTCTAATCTGAGACGGATGTGATGTCACTTTTTATAGGGCAATCTGATTGAACAGCGAAAAATCGTGCAGGAAAAAACGTAAAGAGATTGGTGAAGCATTTCAGAGATTGAGACATAATGTTGCTAACCTTCTGCTAACCATCGCCAAATGAGGCTAAGTAGCTAGCTAGGGCCTCAGGTCATATACAGTATATATTGGCATTTTGCCATTATTAAACAGCTCAATAAAATTTGACAGGAAACAAGGGAAGAAATTCATCCAAGGTCAGCAGCCTGATTCGAACCGGAGACTTTGCGGTTATGTTTTAAACCACCAGGTCTAACTGCCCAATTCCTATGTTTATTCTACACCGGCAGCTTGCGTTTTATGTTTCCAGTAGTGCTGCAAACATAAAATGCATCACTTCCTGTGCAGGATTTCTGTCAGGAAACGACCTACCAGACGCTGGGTGCTTAGAAAAGCAAATATAAAAGTTTCATGAGCTGGCTACAAGTCAATTAAAATGTAACCGGTTACTGTTTCAGTATGTTTAACAAATGAGTAATTGACATATTGATTCATGAAATTGTTCATTTTTTTTTCTGCGTGTGTGTCTAGCCCTTCCACTAGCAGCAACATCCCTCTGATGCGGGTGGTCCAGTCCATCAAACACACCAAGAGGCGGAGCTCCACTGTGGTGAAGGAAGGCTGGATGGTTCATTATACGAGCAGGGACAACCTGGTAAGACTGATAGCCCCCAAAAGCCCAACAAAGGAGCCCAGTCTGAAATGGGCTGTGCTTAGCCTGTATGCTGGGGAAAACTCCTTCTCCAAAGCTGTTCACATGTGTTGAATTCAGCACAGAAGGTATTTTCCTCATGAAACTGAATTTTAAAAGTATGGTTATTATCGGTAGGTGATGCAGGTTTTGTCGTTTGGATTAACTTTGTGTCTCCCTTGAACAGAGGAAGAGACATTACTGGAGGCTGGAAGGCAAGAGTCTGAGTCTTTTCCAGAACGACACCGGAGCCAAGTTCTACAAAGTAAGCAGAAAACTATCAACTCTGCCATGTTCTTGGAAAATAATATTTCGCCATCCAAATCAAACACATAGAAGGATTTATTAAACTGTCAAAAATTGGGCAGCTTAATGCAAAGTAATTCAATGAATAATCTTTTATAGCTCCACAGAAGTGTACCATTTAGGGTTGCACGATTTGGAAAAAATAACTAATTACGAATATATATTATTGCAATTGCGATATGACTTTTCAACATTAAAGGGAATTACCATTGTTGTAAGAAAACTCACATTATATTAGATATCTTTCTATTTAAAGAAAATGTTTTAATCCTTTTTATTTATCAACTTATTTCATTAACAGATGCATTTTGCTCAGATTTCAAGCTCATATCTTTACATAAAGTAAAGGTATACGAGTGATGCATTTCCATATCTGTGTTTGAATATCGTCTGTCACTCTCATGAGGGGTATGTAAATCCAACCTAAGCAGTGGTCGCTGTGTGACTCAGCTTGAGGGCTGCCGTGTTGCAACTGTAAACTACCCTGAGGTCAGTTGAAATTCCCCTGTGGTTTTACACCCTGCAGCCCGGTCTCTTCCTGCTTGAAGCAAAAGTGTCAAATCACCAACAGTCTTTAGCTAAAGCGTATCAAATGAGGATAGGGACATTTGAAGGGGTTTTGATAGATATTCAACAATTTAACCTTAGGGATCCCCAAGTTTAAGTGGATTTACAGAAGAATTTTGATGCATAATTATTCTAGAACAATACATTTAGAGAGAAGTTGTAATCTTTTTTTATTCAAGTGGTGGCTGTGAGTAAAACACTGTAATTTCGATATGTAAAGCCCGTTGTGGACAGTGTGTGACACTTGCCCGCTCAGCGCCAGCACCGAAGTCAGTCATTACACCGCCGCAGGGGCTTAATAGCAGGTAATTACACACTGAGGACTGAGGGAGGCAACTGCAAGGTAAAGACTTCCACATGTGTGTCGGTGGCTGTGAGTACAGGGTGGGGATGGTAATCATTTTTATTGTTCGTGTCGCCTTTGTGTGTTTTGAGAATTCGACACCTCCTTGATCTGTGGTCAGACTCACAGTGGGACAGAGTGTAGGACGCAGAGTTTCCAGTGCGATAGTTCACTTATGAGTGTGTGTCAAACAGGTGGTTTTATGCACAGCTGTAGACATCTGTCACACTAACTCCCTTGAAAAAACAGAATTCTCTTCAAATGTTTCTGTCGCACGCCTGCCCCTAAAGCCTTGGAGAGGAAACCTCATTGGGGAGCGACTCCTCAGGGTGTGTTCGCCGTCAGATTTATGTGGTTCTTTATTATCAACTCTGCTACGTTTAAGACCTTCAGGGGGCTAATTGAAGGCTAGCTATAAATGCCTTGTTTTTATGCTTCATAGTTTTTGTTCCTTGCTTGCCGCTGCAGAGTTGTATCCAATGATAGATAAGATGAAGTAGAAAAAGCTTCTTTCTGGGGGTCTCTTCTTCCGAAAACCACAGATTCTCCATATGCTCGGCGTGCGCCCTGGAAGTCGTCTGTCCCGGGCATTTTCCCCTCAACTCCTCTGAAGTTTTTGTAGCCTGCTGCTCATCAGTGTGTGGCCGCTGTCCGCCCCTCTCCTCTTTTCCTTTATACCTCCGATCTGATTAGTGGTGGTCGCGTGGTGGCTTGCTTGCCAGGCATGGCAGCCATTTTCTCCATTTGGAAGCCATAACCGCTCCCCGTTTGAAGATGAGACCCCTGTACTTGTGGCTTTCTCTGGGGTGAGGGGGCTTCTCTCTGTCTCTGCCAGATTGAGTCCTGTCACACTCAAACATCCCCCCCCCCACAGACACACACACACACCCACCCCGCAGAGGAACGGTAGTTGCCGTGTCTTTCGTCTCCGTGGCTAGCGGTAGCGCCAGCGGCTCGTGCTCAGATGGGGCCCCTGGCTGGCCCTGCCTTGTAATCAGGGAACCAGAGCACTTGAGCCGCCGCAGGGCCCCCGCTCACGTGACCCGGCCCCGCTAACCACAAGCACTTCATCTGATACTCTGTGGTGAGCCACGCGGAGGGGACAGCGTGTGCCTCTCTGAGCCCCCCATTGGCTGAGACGTCTCTGTGTTTTTAAATGTTTCGATCCTCCCTCCTCTCTTTGATTTGACAGTGAGTTTGAAGCATGGTTTGAAGGACAGGGGGAGGGGGGGGACTTTTAAAGTGTGCAGCAACTGTTCTTTTCTTTATGTGCTCATAAGAGAGAGGAGAGTGAAGGAGAAAGTTAGAGCTGGGACTATTTAACTCTATCAACACTGTGGAGACTTTTGGAGTGTGTGAGTGTTACTTCCTGTATTTTAGTTTATGTCATGTCTTTGCAGCAGTAGTGCGTTATACACATTTGGTGTTTTCTTCTTTGATTGAGATAACGACCGTTGTAATTTTGTTAAAAATATTTACTGAATTGTTTTAAAGTCTGAGGAAACTTTTTTTTGGCAGTAACTTTTCTGCAAATTCATTTTTTTATTAGTTTTTCAGAAAGAAAAATGTATCTCATTTTTCGAATTTGCTATTTCTGTTTTAATATTTATAATTAATGCTGAAACGTATGTAGATACCAATTAATTGTTAATGCCGCAGGTTGATTGGTTGATTGTACTGATAACACTTAGTGTATAAAAAACAAAACAAAAAAAACTACTTTTTCGGGACCTTATTTATTTGAGAGAATCCTAATATAATATTTTGTTTTTTGTATGATCGTGATTTGTGTCCCTCCCCCCTCCCTCAGGAAATCCCTCTGTCGGAGATCCTGCAGGTGGAGCAGTGCAGAGACTACAGTAGCCTGGCCCAGGGCAGCAACCCTCACTGCTTCGAGGTCATCACAGCCACCATGGTGTACTACGTGGGGGAGAACAACTGCAGCCTCTACCACAGCCCCGCGCTGGCCGCCTCGGGTGTCGGCATGGACGTGGCTCAGGGCTGGGAGAAGGCCATCAGACAGGCCCTGATGCCCGTCACCCCCCAGCCCAGCGTGGCCAGCGCCGCGGGACAGGGCAAAGATCATAGTGAGTAGAGGAGATGGGAAAACTTAAAATAGAAAAAGGAAGTAGAAAAATATTGCTTATTTTTCTCTTTAAAATGCAAATTTTGGGGGAATTCAGGCAACCATAACAACATTTCATAAAAAATTCACTTTTTTAGGTGAAGATGTGTGGTGCTAACAATTATTCAAGTTTATAATTTTGTATTTAACCTTTTCAGCTAATAACAGTCCATCATGGGATAACAATAATCCATAATCAACAGTATAGTTTGTCAAAAAAAATATAAATTCTAAAATTATTAGAGATTCGAAAGTACAAAAACTATGATGATGACTTTGAGAGATTTTGAAGTTTATAGGAATTAGAATTGCACACGCCTCTAAATCTCACAGATAAAGGGTCTTCTTGTTTATTTTAGCGGCCTCTGGCTGAAGCAATTTCGTTTTTTACATACAATAAACAAGAAGAGCTTTTATCTGAGACTTCATAGATAGTAAAATACATTAGTAAGGAATGTTGTCAATGTTTAACTGTGTGCCTTGTATCAGACAAACATTTCCCCTGTCACATTTTGTTATTACTCAACCCGAAACTAAGTAGGTAACTTCTAGGGCCACAACAAAAGAAAGTCTGCCTTTTGCTTGTTATGCGTGGTTAAGATTTGAATGTTGTCTCAATTAGAAAGAAGGTCCCTCTTTACACTATGTTGGCTTTAGTGGTCAAAAAGACAATAAGGTAGCTGGCTTTAGCATTCAATAAGCGGGGAAACCCTTTGTTAGTGTCTATAGGTTAAAGGAAGTGATGCCTCAAAGCAAGTCACTGTTTCAAGATGACATTTAGACAAATGAAATGACTTGAGATTAAGCCTTTATCACTGTAGTCAGGAATGATTACATTATAGTAGATGAACAGGCAAATAAGATATTTTAATCTGGAAATATTTGTGTCATTATGTGGTAATTTCTCAATCAAATATCCATTGTGTAGCACTAGCTTAATGATCACAACATCTTGTTTTCTACTTGCTCTTCTATTCACTGGCTAGTATGCAGAATTAGCCCCTGCGGCGGTTTAAATTCCCAGTTATGAAAATGCATCGCATACTTGGACCATTCAGTCACACGTAGCTTCCCAGATCAATTTTATAGCCAATTTATTGTGTAATAAAATGCTTCATTATGCACAGCTGTGACTTATTGCATGCAGGTGCGATAAGCCTACAAGTAAAAAATGCTAGTATTTGAGCAATATCTCTCCGACTACAATTAAAGATGGATGCTTTTGGTAAACTTATTGAATCCTGAGCCATCGTGTGTTTCCTCTCCAGAAGAGCTGTCCATCAGCATATCTGTGTCCAACTGCCAGGTCCAGGAGAATGTGGTGAGTTCTTTTTTCTCTGATAGACTGCTGTTGCACAACTTCCTTGCAAAGGCTGCACATGCACGTATTCATGAGCTATTAAAGTATCTGTTGTGGTAAAAATGAGTAATTGTTTCTTTACAAAAATGTCCAAGTGGAAGCTTTTATGCTGCATAATTGGGGAAGCTGCTGTCCCGTTTGTTTTTGGTAAAGGGATATCGTTTCAGTTCCACTTCTGCATTATGTGAAAGTTAAACGTGGCAATGCCAGCAAACTTTTTTTTTGGAAGAGTGGCTTTTCTTACGGGCTTTTGATGATGTAATCATGCAATGAAAAACAGTAACAATGCAAATGTTCTCTTTGTAGGATATCGCTTCAGTGTACCAAATATTTTCTGATGAGGTGCTGGGATCCGGCCAGTTTGGCATCGTGTATGGAGGTGTGTTTCTCTTTTAATTTACTTTACTACACACCGCCCCGTACCACTCAGATTGTATATACTACTACTGTGAACTGAATTACATTTGTTTGATTTTGAAAGTTATTAATTTTCCCATTATATTTTAGGCAAACACAGAAAAAGCGGCAGAGATGTGGCCATCAAGGTTATTGACAAGATGAGATTTCCTACTAAGCAGGAGAGCCAGCTACGGAATGAGGTGGCCATATTACAGGTAATAACCAGCATCCGTCAAGCACACAATGAAATCAAATACTAGCGTAAATTGTCTTAACTGTTATACTCTCAATATTCCTGATAGTTTTCCGGTATAGATCTCATGTCTTCTGTGCATTCTTTTAGAATCTGCACCACCCGGGTATCGTGAACTTGGAGTGCATGTTCGAGACGCCGGAGCGAGTGTTCGTCGTCATGGAGAAGCTGCACGGCGACATGCTGGAGATGATTTTGTCCAGCGAGAAGAGCAAACTGCCGGAACGCGTCACCAAGTTCCTCGTCACGCAGGTCAGTGTTGCAATGCATTCACCCTCTCTTAACCCTACTTCTCTTTTGTCTTTTTATCACCCCTCAAATCTTCAGTGCTCTTTAGCTTGATGTTAATCTTTGGAAGCAGCTGATCAAAAATCAACTCTAAAGAATGTGTCATTTGCTATCAACGCTTTATACCCTCTTCCGTTACTTCTTGCTTTTGATTCCTATTGTCTCATAACTTTCCTCCCTTCTGTTTTTTTGGGGGGGGGGGGCGTGTTAGCCCTCTGCTGCAGCTCCAGTGCCTGTTTATTCTTGTGGTGCGCTGATTGGGGGGGGGGGGGGGGTGAATTGTTTACGGGATTGGTCTCTGCATGGCATTACGGCCCCCTCCCCAGACCGTGGATTACAGCCTGCAGGGCTCCGGTGGCTTTGCGGCCTGATTAGAAGAGCAGCAGGCCCCTGGCTCTCCGCGGGTCCCAAAACAGAAGCAGGGCCCATTAGCGACGGGCCCATTAGCGACGGGCCCATTAGCGACGGGCCCATTAGCGACGGGCCCATTAGCGACGGGCCCATTAGCGACGGTGGGGGCCCGGCTCTGATGTGGCCGGGGAGGACTTCTGTCAACGTCAGGGTCAGGACAGGGGGGCCAGGCGCACTGCGGTGTCTGGGACAGGGCCATGCGATGATGAGATGAGATCGTGTGTCTTTATTGTGAAGGCGCTGGTCAGGACGGAGTATTTTAGGGCATTTGTATGCTTATACTGCTATTTTTTCATTTGGCAGCATTATACAAACATTACCCTGTTGATACCACACACTCCATGCATTCAAACATTTAGACCACAATGTTTATATTATTGGCATCTGGATTTTTTTTTTTAAAGCTAAATCTGTTATTTTCTCTCTTCTGCCTACAACAGATCCTGGTGGCCCTGAGACATCTGCACTTCAAAAATATTGTTCACTGTGACTTGAAGCCTGAGAACGTACTACTGGCCTCCGCAGAGCCCTTTCCTCAGGTAGGGCATCCACCATTAGTCAACTTATTGGTCGGAGATTGCCATATCAAATAATTACTTTTGATAAGATAAACCTTTATTGATCCTCAAAGGGAGATTCAGGTGTCTTATCAGCAACAGCACTAAGGGTAAACACAGGATAGGAAAGATAAGAATTCACAGAAGAATAACACTAATAATAAAAGTAAAGAAATGTAAAAATAAAAGTGTTAGAAAGATATGTACACAAGTCATTTAGGATAATTGATTATAGTCCCATACATTGGTCTTGCAAAATAGTCTGAGCTCTTAAATATTGAGATTTCTTGCTTTTTGCTATTAAATATCATATTAAAGTGATAAAACAATACATTTAAAGACCGCTCCTTGGACTTGGATAATTTGAAAGCCCTTTTTTGACTGTTGTTTGACATTTTATGGACCATACCTTTAATCTCTAGAAAATCCACAGCATGGCTAATGAAAAATAATGAGTATTTGCAGCATTATGTGTCTGGTATGTCTGTATACACATGTGTCTATATGTTGACCATGTTGTTTCTCCCAGGTAAAGCTGTGTGACTTTGGCTTTGCCCGTATCATCGGTGAGAAGTCGTTCCGGCGCTCTGTGGTGGGCACTCCGGCCTACCTGGCTCCTGAGGTGCTGCGCAGCAAAGGCTACAACCGCTCCTTAGACATGTGGTCGGTGGGAGTCATCGTGTACGTCAGCTTGAGCGGGACGTTCCCTTTCAACGAGGACGAGGATATTAACGACCAGATCCAGAATGCTGCCTTCATGTACCCCCCAACGCCATGGAAGGACATCTCTGCAGAGGGTAAGAAGAAGACAGGACATGTGTCAGTTTGTTTGTTGTAGCTCTAAGTCATTTGGCTGTAGTTCAATTGGTGTCAAAGTGTTACTCAGACAGTTAGCCTCAGAGCTCCCCTCCTACATGTCTGGGTCCTCTGAACTTTGCTCTCACTTTTTTTCTGTCTGCGGTTGCAATGAGTCACTCTCAAACCTCCCCAACTGTAGCTCCTCCCACATACAGTGTGAAATATATATGAAAAGGTCAAAAAAAAGTGTTGATGCTAATGTTTCGTAAGCTAACTTCAGTAAAATGTTGTTATCTTTTGCTGTAGACGGATGAAATGTGTCCTTTCCCTCACATCCTTAAATACGCTGTTGGTATGAGATGATATGTCTTCTAAGTTCAGTTTGTTGATACATTCTCTATTCCCCTCACAGCCACAGATCTGATCAACAATCTCCTCCAAGTCAAGATGAGGAAGAGGTACAGCGTGGACAAGTGTCTCAGCCATCCCTGGTTACAGGTGACTTTTTACCTTATTCTCTTTGATGCTTTAACCCATATCACACTTCTTAGTTGAATGAGAACACACAGACAAGACACTCATGCTGTTGCAGCGTGACTTACACTTTCAGAAGGATATTTTCTGATAATCGTCACGTTTGAATGTTTTCTTGAGTATCAACAGTCCACATATAGCTGTCTCTACGTCTGTAGTTATTGACTTCATTGCAACATTAGACTTCCTGCTTCACACCCCCTCAGAATCATGTGAGGTTCAAAAACCTATAGCATGATTAGCCCCAAATATATAATCAGATAAATAATAATAATAGGAGTTTTAATACTTTGATGATTGATACAAACGAAAAACTAACAAAATAATAAAAGGTATTATTATGATAACAATAAACTTAGCTTAAAATAAAGCTTAAAAAGGAAACAAAAAATACAATAAAAATTCAAAAATAAAATTCACATTTGGCCCTGATCCTCTTCGGTACACTATAGATAAAAACATACACAGAAATAAAATCTTATAAAACGAATGTCCATCCCTGAAACACAGACACACTGTTCATAAACAGAAGTCTTTAAAAGCCTCTGGAGGAAAATACTCAGGAACACTTAGATTAAGAGCTGCTGCCTCTCTCCTCAGGACTATCAGACCTGGCTGGACCTCAGGGAGTTTGAGACGCGGCAAGGCGAGCGCTACATCACCCACGAGAGCGACGACACGCGCTGGGAGGAGTTCGGCGACGAGCACTGTCTCCTGTACCCCAAACACTTCATCATGGCTCCCAACCTGGACGACATGGAGGAGGACCCCTAGTGGCTCACAGGACACCACATGTGTTTAAAAAGGACAAGGTTTGTCACAGGGACTTTTTCAAGAAGCAATGGGAGCGACAGATTTTTCCCTCCAGGACTGTTTTGACTTGAAAACAGAGAGCAAGCCGATCAGGTGGAGAATCGCTCTCCGGAGGCTTTAAGAGCGGGAAAAAACCCGACAGAATTTGTAGCATGATGCGCCGCTACGAGCAGTATGCAGGTGGAGATGCAACAGAAACGCATTGAGAAACTGTGGAGATAACAGTGTTTGCACAAAATCTAAAAACATTCCATGGATTTCCTAGTTTCTTTTTTAAGAACAATCGCAAAACAAGGTGAACGTAATAGTTTAGTTAGTGTACAAAACATTTTGGAGTAATAATATGACTGTTCTTTATGTGAGAGAAGAGGTCTGACAGCGCTTACCCCAGGAGTAAAGTGCACTTTCCACAAGGGATTTACAGTCCGAGAATTTAAAACATTTTTTTATTCTCATTTCCCAACCGTTTGTGAGACTGGCCTTTTGCTTGAAACTGGAACAATCACATGTTTGTATGTTTTTTTAATGTATTTCATAATTGTGGTCGATTTTTGCACTATATTACCAATTGAACCGCAATATTTGCTGCGGTGTTTTGCGAAGCCAATCGAGGTGCAAAGTTTAAACCAGCAGGAAGTTGATGCAACTCGCTCCAATTGGCTGCTCCTCCATCCTTTATTTTAGAGCTGCAACTAATCATTAAGTTGAATCTTCAGATTATTTTCCACAGAAATCCATTACAAATGTGGTCGAGAAAATGTCCGACAGTCAATCCTAATTTCCTAAAAAGTCAGAGGTAATGTTTGTTCTTTCAGTCAAAACCAAGAATATTGTTTAATATGATATTAAACAGAGTAAAGCGGTAAATCTCCATTTATGAGAAGCTAAAAACTGTATTTTCTGCAGATTTTGCACGTCAATTAACTACATTGAGTTTAAGAATCCGTCGATTGACTTATCGTTGCAGCTTTTATTTATTTTTACAGCGAGCTAGCAGCTAATGGCGGCCGTGTTTGATCAACTTTCCCCTGGAGTTGGTGACCAACAGACCCTGACCAAACATGTTCAATCATTTCAATGTTTCCAAACCTTTTTCTAAAGCTACACGAAATCCTCAAGTCACTGAATTGTTAGTAAAATGCAATAATGGAGCCATTTTTTCCTATTCATCATAAGGCTGAAGCAGCATGGACTCTATGTTAGAGCATCATGTCTCTGTGTATATCTGTACTGTCGCAGTATTGTTAAATGTGACTCTGGAATATGTGTGTGTGATGCTCTTTAGGTATCTGAAGTGTTGCGTCGCCAACTGAGCTTTCACACAGAACAAAATGTTGGCGTTCATTATGTTGTCTGGACCAATCAACAGCCCTTTGGTCTGGACTGAGGACACTCTTACACTTTGGTTCACATGGGAGTTTATTGAACTACAGTTTTGTAGTTTGCTCTGTTGGTGTGTTTTGGGAGTAAGTTCCTGTTTTCCTGTTGTCCTCTTGCTGTCTTTGTTGCCGCTGGATTGGCAGGTGTCAGTGTTTTGTATATTTCAGTAAATACCAATGGAATAAAAAACCCAACTTCCCAACTGAAGAAAGTTTTGTTCCACCTTGAAAGGTCTTTATGTTCCCTCTCCTGACTTAAACAATAGATTTAGTTTTTCCATGACTCTGCGGCATAAGTAGTCACAACTTGTAGTTTAGTGTATATTGCATCACTGTGTGTGTGTGTGTGTGTGTGTGTGTGTGTGTGTGTGTGTGTGTGTGTGTGTGTGTGTGTGTGTGTGTGTGTGTGTGTTGTGGTCTAACATGTCAAATCCCATTCCCAGCAGCTGGATGTGATTGTTGCACCACACCAAGCAGTTAGCAGAGCCAGTCGCTCACCACAAGAGAGTAATGACACAGTAAAAGAGGGTGGTGGTAGAGGGGCAGGGGGGGGGGGGGGGTTCGTGGAACACTTTGAAATCCTTATTATGAAACCCCTTCCAGTATCAGGAATAACATGTCTTATTCCTGCACTGTTCTTCAGAATGTGACTATTGTTTCAGGGTAGAGAAGGGACAACTTTCATTCACTCACCAAATGAATTGTGCTTGAGTCCAGTGTTGGAAAGTAACTGAGTACATTCACTTCAGAATAACTATGAGCTATGTGTGCTTCACTTGAGCGTTTCCATTTTCTGCCACAGGGATATATTTGTATTGCACCATATTCATTTGACACTTGTAGTAACTACTTTCTTTTAAACATAAATATCAATAATGTGTTTGTATAATATATATATAATATTAGTATACTTAGTACAAAGTACAAAATTGAATCCAGATTGACAAATAACATTTAAAACTCTTGTATTTATTTGTTTGTGATAAAAACAGAATAATAATATATAATATTATGCAACACTTTTCAAAAAGCCATTCGGTATAATTAGTACTTTTACTTTTGATGCTCGAGTACATTGTCCTGATGTAACTATTGTACTTTCACTTAAATAACATTTTAAACTTAAGGCTTTTACTTGTAATAGTAATATAATCACAAATAATTGAGTATTTTTAGATGTGGTATTACTACTTTAACTTAAGGATCTGAATACCCTCCACCCTGCTTAATCCCTCCACCATTCTCCACAGATATCTGTCCACTGTTAGCCATCATGGCTAGCATTATTGCAATGCTATCATCAAAAAGCCACTGATGAGAGGTTTGAACTGATTTTCCTTTAAAGCGGCTCTCAATACTGCCCTCCTGCATCTGTTAGTCTGAATGCGTTCAAGATGTGGACGGTCTTTGCAGACCAGATGACCCCATTAACCTGGGGGGGGGCACATTTATAAACTGCAACAGCTCTGTTTGAAGTCACTGAGTTGGTCCTCACACATGAAGTTATTAAAGAAAACCTGAACCAGCGCCCCGTTAACTTAACATACCACATATTTGACTGCAGCTTGAGTTAGAGTAATTAAAGGATTCATGGTGGAAAGAGATGCAGATATAGGGATGTTGTAGAGAGATCACAGCGAAATAAAGGGCAATGTCTCCCTCCTCTGGCTGCACTGAGGTGGACTAGTTTCAGTAATACATGGTATCATAAAGCCTTGATTTAAAAAGGGCGATAATCAAACTGTCCACTTCATTAGATACAAATGTACAATTAATTGCACGTCTAGATTAAATTACTTTTTTAGAAGGGCCACGTTTGAGAACAGTGAAGCGCTAAGGGGTCGGACATTTCGTTTCCTATGTCTGACCTGGGAATTTAGGAATTTCATTGTAAAAACAGTAGGTTGTTTTGACAAACGTTATAATGGATTTAAAATATGTTTGATTCATTTTGATTCTCCGTAATTCCCTCTGCTTAGAAATATCCATAGGTTTTACACTATTTTATTATTCAAAAGTAAAATCTCCCTTCTGCACCTACTGCATTTGTTTGACATCACAACACAGCTCAGTGTGATAAATGCATTGTGCAAGAGCTTAACACTTTGTTTTGTAAGTGACAGACAGATGAAAATGAAAGGGATCAACTTCAGAGAAGATCGATTTTTATACTTTTTTTTTCATTTATAAATGATCTAACGGACTGATTGAGTTCTTTCAAGAGCTGGGTACGGCCCATCCATTAATACTGTCCTGCTATAACGTGGACTTTTAACTTCATTTTCTTTTTTACCTTTTCCTTGAAGTGTAGTTGCTGCTTTTTATATTTTATTGAGAATTGCTTCTTTTTTTCTTTCTACCCACCTTACTGTATGTAACCAGGAAGGACAAACCGCTTTTAAGACCTCCTAATATAATGTATTTCAGTACAACACTAAAAGTTCACATTCCTTTTCCAACAACAGTTTTTTGTATATGTTGAAAAACCTGAAGGGGATCTTTTGAAATATTGTTCATAAAATAAGACACATTAAGATAATCAACAAATGATTGCACATAAAATATGTTATGGTTTTGATATTGCACAAGGACAGTGGTGTGAAATAACTAAGTACATTTACTCAAGTACTGTACTTAAGTACAATTTTGAGATACTTTGTACTTCTACTCCACTACAATTCAGAGGTTGATCGTATACTTTACTCCACATGCTTTTATTATGTACCTTTAGTTACTTTACAGTACTTCTGCTCTTGGTACTTAGTATATTTTGATGCCAATACTTTTGTACTTTTACTTGAGTAACATTTTGAATACAGGACTTTTACTTGTACAGAGTATGTCTACATTGTGGTATTTCTTCTTTTACTTAAGTAGAAGATCTGAGTACTTCTTCCATCCCTGAATAAGGATATTAATGACAAAGTAAAACATTCAGGCACAGCAACAGGTGACATGTTAATACATAGTCTGTATTATTATAAAATGTATGATATAGCCTCCAATGTTTGTTGCATACATGTATATATTTATTAAATGTCCCTTGGGGAATTTGCATTAGCACTAACATTGTCCTGAAACTAATGTCTCTGTGCTGCCAGAAGGTGTCACTCTCTGAAGGTGAATGTAGTGAAATTGTAATGGAAGAGTCCCAGTGTTTGTGGGAAATCTCTGAAACAGTGAGTGATCATTTGGTTATAACATAATTGATTTAAAGGGGACCTATCATGCAAAATGCACTTTCTGATGTCTTTTATACATACATATGTGTCCCCGGTGCGTCGGGGAACTCACGCAGCGTCAGAAAATAAAACCCTCTCTCTTTTCCTCCATACCCAAATCTTTTTTAAACGGGTGTACATTACAACGAGCGGATACAGATTTCCATCCGCTGTGACGTCGGCGGACCCACAGAAAGTTACTATCAGAAACAATGCCTGACGTGTTTTGGACGTAATCTCGTTTTTGTTTACATTAGCAAGCCTTGCTAACACTCAGAGCTAACCTGTACTTAAGAGCACATGTGTTTAAAAAGCAGGAAATAAAAAAATAACTCACCTTGTGATAAACCTGCAAGAGAAAAAGCATTTGAGCTCCATACTGTTTCAGAAATAGTCCTTGACGTGGTTTAAACAGGATGGCGTTTTATCACAACGGAATTTAACTTTATCTCCGGTAGAATTCTGATCAGGCATTAGCTCCGCCTCCTCTTCTTCTTTTTTTTCAAGCTAAGGACCCAAGATCTGCGTTTCTCTAACAGGGCTGCAAAAGAGGGGTTTGAGCAGTATGAGGCATGGCTACAATGGGTGATCTGTTTGGTATTTTGAAAAGAAAACTTCACAGACATGTTTTGTAGTATTGCCCTACAATATATATTTCAAATATAGCATGATAGGTCCACTTTAAAGGAATGCTCCACTCATTAGATAATTAATCAAAACTTCCGTATTTAGTGAAACATTATGTTTAAACCATACCCTGAAGAAATCAGCGATATTCCCCGGTAAATAATGATTTTATAGCTCTTTTTTATCAAAACCTGTATATTCCGTCAGGCCGCTGCCATTTTGCCCATTTTCAGTAGTCACGTGATGGTCGTGACGTCATCCATGCGTTCACTTTGTAAACACACGAAAACATGGCATAGTATTTGAGTTCGGACTCGTCAGCCGAGGAAGAAGTTTTGAGCAATATGAAGAGATTGGATGGGGGAATTCAGCCATACAGGTTCGAGCCTACTTAGTACTACTTAGTAGATACAATGATTTTGATTACTAGATATGTATGCATGTAGTACCACCCTTGCTAGCGATTCCCTCTCTAGTTTAGCATACTCAGCCTCGTTGTCCCTGGCCCTAGAACCACGATTTTATGGGGCCGGAAAAACTGGGGGAAAATACCCACTAGCCGGTACTACGCTATATGGAAAAGCCACCCAAAACTGGCCTGGCCTGGACGATAAAGGACGTTTAAACGGGGCTACCCGCTGCAATGGAAATGCGCTATAACATACCTTATTCTTACTCCGAGCACTACTTCTGGTCCTCCGTCGCTTCACACTTGCAGAGGGCGATTTCTCAACTGGCCGAACTGGTGTCCTGGTCGGTGATGACACTAGAAAGACCGATGGTACTGCATCTCCATTAAGTAATGGTTGTTCAATAAATCCCATGTTATGTTTTATCATACTCTCAGAGTAGTCGTCCAGAAACTTGAAATGTTCGCTGCATACATGCCTGTGGATCTTTCGGTTCGGGCCGGCCACATTTCGCTAGCCACTGCCTCCGAACGTACTTCCTACGCTTACCTTTTGGCAACAGATGGAACCGAGCATTCCGTGGATTGTTCCTATCAGAATTGTGGCAATGTTTCGCGATACAATGAGGCATATTTGAAGAGAGTAACCACAGTAAATAACATGAACATCAACGTGTCCTCGAAACCAAACGCATGGTTTACGTCACGTCCGGTAAAATGGCGCTGCCCACAGTGTTGATGTTATTTCGGTAGTTAATCAGTTTAAAATAACTGATAATGTCATCGGATTAAAAAAAAAAAAAGAAAGACTGGCAGAGACTGGTCTGTTTTATCGGATGATAATTATTTAAAAATGAGTGTCATGAGCATACCATTCCTTTAACATAAAAAGCATCAGCATTGGTAGCCATTTCAAAATGAGCTACACATAGCTTCACACACAGGTGTTTTAAGTGGATACAGCCAAATAAATTACCTTTATAGTGAGCCATGGTCCTCAATAATTGTCAAATGCGTGTCAGAAATAACATGTGCTGAAGGATCAGAGGTAGTGATCTGTCCTTGTTGCCCTGATCCTGGGTCTGTGTATATTTGTCGATCAGATTTGCCCGGTAGCTTCTCGGCAGGTCTCTCGTCACCTCAAGAGGAGGTCTGTGTGTCTCGCATCCTTACCCCCCCCCCCCCCCTTCCCCAAACACCTATTTTTTACCTTCTCTTCTACGTCCTTTTCCATTCCTCCTCTCTACACTCCATGCTGGGTATCCATGGGCTCCGGACCAAACAAGCAAACAAACAAACAAACAAACAGAACAACAGGAAAAACCCATCACCCAGACAAGGTTGGTCTGAGCTTGTTGTTGGGGGGGGGGGGGGGGCGGGGGGTGGGAAGAGATCTTGTTTGCCTTCTAGGCCGGTTCCATATCACTGTGACGGCAGAGAAGGCCTCCCAGGACACGGCTACCCACACTTCTGTTTGACTTCCAGGGGGGATCAAGGTGGTCCTCGGCACATCATCTCCCGACCCAATACACAGTTGCCCCAAGCCGCGGACCCCCGGCCTTTACCTAAGCCCGCCTGTACTCTTTAGCTGGTGTGACATTCAGCTGCTGGCCTTTAATCCTCACGATGCTGTTTGACCAGTAAATAGACTGATGCATTTGAGGACTTGAGGCAAAACACTACAGGCACAAACCATTGTTTTCAGTCAGGTTTGAGAGTAACATATGTTCCTCTGACAAGTGGAAAGAAAATATCCAAAAGTCAGTTAGGTGGAACTACACTGTCTATTTGGGTCGTATGAATTCACCACAGATTGCTCAGATAATGCCTCATTTGCAGATTGAAACATCAACACAGAAACTTGTAAAATAAAAAGTAAAAGTCTCATTGTAAGTAATCCAGGAAGGCCCTTTTTTATGTCTCAGTCATTCCCGCTTCACCAGCACTTAAATACGCACCATACATTCCTGTTACTATCAATGTTCTATATAAGTATTTTACAGAGTTTGGTTCATACATAATTCATATCCTTAACATTGTATTCCGAAAAATCATGACGAAAACAGTTTTTTAAAAGATTGATGGCCATATTTCCGATTTATGGAGTGACATACGCATATGATAAGAGATATCCCAAATTATAAAATAATTTGGAACATGGATTTATCCAATGTTGAAATGATCCTCATGATACAAGTGTAAAATACTAAAGTAACAAACACATAGACAGCTTGTGCAGACTCTCTGCTCCCTTATTGTCAGTCCTGTGGCTGTAACTCACTAAACCCCACATAATACCTACACTGTTTTATTTGTACTTCCTGTGTCCTTGATGAAGGGCACAAGTCCCAAGAAACACTCCAATCTCTAAAACAAACTCACAGCACGTGATATTATTTTCCCTATCAGGGGACAAATGAATACAACCACAGAGGGCATACACACCTTAAGCAAGTGTGTGTATTGGAGACAAATGTGTCCAAAAACATGCCACGTGGTTGACAAGATCAACTTTAGCTAGCAGCTAATGGCGGCCGTGTTTTGTATATTTCAGTAAATACCAATGGAATAAAAAACCCAACTTCCCAACTGAAGAAAGTTTTGTTCCACTCTGCGGCATAAGTAGTCACAACTTGTAGTTTAGTGTATTGCATCACTGTGTGTGTGTGTGTGTGTGTGTGTGTGTGTGTGTGTGTGTGTGTGTGTGTGTGTGTGTGTGTGTGTGTGTGTGTGTGTGTGTGTGTGTGTGTGTGTGTGTGTGTGTGTGTGTGTGGTGTGTGTGTGTGTGTGTGTGTGTGTGTGTGTGTGTGTGTGTGTGTGTGTGGTGTGTGTGTGTGTGTGTGTGTGTGTGTGTGTGTGTGTGTGTGTGTGTGTGTGGTGTGTGTGTGTGTGTGTGTGTGTGTGTGTGTGTGTGTGTGTGTGTGTGTGTGTGTGTGTGTGTGTGTGTGTGTGTGTGTGTGTGTGTGTGTGTTGGCTGGCTGGCTGGCTGGCAGGAACATCAAGACGTCCTTTTGTTGTAAAAATCCCGAGGAGAGAGGAAATGAATGCTGGAAATGGTTTCCTAGTCTGGGAAAATGCAGATGAGCCATATAGGTATGTTTGATTTGTTGACTCCAGCTGTGCCTGGAGAATTCCCCTGACCCATCCTTTGGACCCGGTTGCTGTGTGAGGGGCCACATGTACCCAAGTTGCAATACGCCCGCCACCCCCCTCCTGAAAAGGGCAGGCCATTGAACTCTCAGGCAAGTGGCAATATTTGCTCACCTGAAATACACACATCTTGCCAATTGGGGTCGGGGTGGGCTTGGGGACTGCATGGGGAAGGACCCCATTGATGCAGCTGTGGCCCCCGGAGAAAGCCCAGACCAGGAAGTTTTGTGGCTGTAAGAGGGCGGGGGGGAGGGGGGTGGGGCTCTCTTGACAGGGGGCTGTTTAGCGGTGGCGGCCCTATTGTGTCCTAAAGGAGGCAAGGGAGCGTATTTGTTCGAAGCTGCAGGAGGCTGATGAGGTGCTAATCTGTTGAGTGGCTGTGTCATTGGGCCCCCTGTTCCCAATAGCCTGTTAGCTGTCAGGGCCTGTAAAAAAAAAAGCACAATTTACGGGCCCCAGGCCAGAACTCAGCCATCGGTGACCACGGGTAAGCAAACACAGATTGAGCACTTATGTTGTTGCTCTGGTACGGCAGGCTTTACCACCGGGCTCCTGGGGTGACACGTAGGCAGCCTCTTTTCAGCCCCTCTTCATGAGCTGTCGGCCCCCTCTCTGCTCCTCTGTAAACACTACAAATTAGCCATCTGCATATGGATGGACCCTCAGTCCATACAGGAAGGAGACACCCGCCTGGTGGAAGGGAGAAGATACACGCCAGATATATGTTCTCCACTGTTTCATTTCTCATGCATACGAAACACTGAGGGTTTTTTAGAGATATTCCCGCTCGGGAGAGATTTTGTTCCATGGTGCTTTGAAGCATGAGGATAATAAAAGCGCTTGTGTCTGAGATGGGTTCGAGTCAGCAGTCAGAGGTAATCCCAAACTTGAATTTCCCCATCAGCCTGGAATACAGATAAGACGGCGGCAGATATGACCCTCACTCGCTGACTGACTGAGGGACTGATGGAAAAAGGAAATGGAGCAAAAGCCTCTCAGATGTAGAGCTGAGATGTGTGTGTTTTCTCAAGAAGCCTGTCAGAGATGGATTTGTATTAAGCTCGCGTGCAACGTCACTACTTTATCATATCTGAAAGACAATAGCGCGTCAGTTAATTTAACGAGAAGGATGCTACGCCCCGAGTCATTTAGGATTAGTAAGGCCATTACAGATACACAACTTTTTAATCACCGGGCAGGTTTGCCCTCCCGTCCGCGCTGACGTGGATCTGACAGGCCGACGGCCCGGGTGTGAACGGCAATAGCTCATCATGGATTATGGTGCGGGCCTGATTGTAGTGATATTTAGACTCAGAGCTTCCCATGGGAGCCTGGCACTTTAATTAACATAGCACTACTGGCACCCCTCCTGTTTTAATTGCCTTCAGTCTGTGATTAAATGTGTATTGACTCTGCAGTTGGTCCACTAATGAATAACAATGTGCTGATTTGGTGATATTAAATCTTTTGGCTCTAATACACATCCCATCTACGTTGCCTTCAAAAGTTCAGACATTGCAAGAAGCATGTGATCTGACTCGGAGTGGGGGGAATATACAATTTATAGAAGATACCACACATGAAGTGTTTCTCATTTTAATTGGATCAAGTTTTGTTATGTCTGTAGCTTTGAAATGTTTTGAATAAGGTACCCACTTTCTAATAAGATACCAGTTATAAACTGCTTAGAAGTTGCAAGTAAACTAACTAATTAAAACAAATGGTTAATAAATCAATATAGGTTATTCTAAGCCATTAAAAAGAACATATTTTGAGTTGCCAGGATGTGAAAAACCAATTTAGCTAGTGTTAGTCTTTCAATTTGTAGTTATACATATCCATTTATTAACACTCATGGATTTCTCACTTTTCAAATAATCCCTCCAGATGCATTTATAAATTATAAAGTTGTTGATATAGAGATTTGATCCCTGTAATCTGCAGCCCATTTCTAGAATTATGTAGGCTGATTGCAATATTGTAACCCAAAAGCTAGTTTATTATGCACAGAGCTAAAAGGAATTAGCATAGGATTTATCAGAATCAGAAATCTTTTATTTTTCCAAAAGCAGGGAAATTAGCTTTCTTATAAGAAAGTGGTACATTAATGTGTTTCTAACTCTACAATGTGACCTCCTAAAGACTCTAATTCGTGCACATGCATTCTTCAGTGTCATCTGATCTGGTCATCT